TGTCTTATAGACCTGATTGATTGACATGGGGCAAAGCACAGAGGCATGGCAGTTGTCACCTTGAGCACTGGGAAACTGCATCAAGGAACAGTTGATAGTAAGTTTTTAAGGAAGGATAGAAAAAGGTGGGGGGGTGAAATTGATTATACTTGTGAGGTTTACTGTGTGGCAGGCTCTGCTCAAAGAACTTAGTAGGTGCCTTGCAATTCAGTGTTTAGTAAACTCTGTGATGTACAGATATTACTCCTCTGTAGGAGAATAGCTTGGGGTTATGGGGACATGGGGGATTGATTTGAGTCACTTGCCTAGGGTTCTGTAGACCTCAATAAAGAAATGTACCCACCTACATTTCAGATTTTAGAAATGCATATAAAGTTGGCTTTTGAATGATAACTCTTTCTGCCAGCTGCCCGAGCCCTGCCGCCATACTAGGGCCCCCAAACAGCACACAGAGTCTTATATTAATTACAATGCTGCTGGCCAATGACTAGGATTTCTTGTATGCTAGCTCTGTCTTAAGTATCAACCATAACCATTAATCTATATATTTTATAAAGACTTATCGAGGATGCCGGTGGCATGCATCCTCTCTTGCTGGGCTCACATGGCAACTCCTCTTTAGTACACTTCCCAGAATTCTCCCTCTCACCTAGTCCTGCCTATCTTGCTTCCCTATTGGCCAACAGTGTTTTATTCATTAACCAATAAGACAAACATATACACAGAAGGACTTCCCCCATCATCTCCTCTTTTCTTTCTAAATAAAAAGGATTTTAACATTAACATAGTAAAATGTATAACAAGACATTTATCAAGTAAGAACTATAGTGCAATATTTAGTTCATCAACATTTAGCAAGATTTAAATATTCTATTATCTATCCTATCTTTGTGAGTCTAAGGTCTTATATGTAACTTATCTTTTATAATAACCAAAGAGAACTATAACCATAACTATCTGTCTTCAATGCCATCAAAGATCACAGAAGGGTAATATATAAACTCTAGAACCGACAGAGACATCTTGCTACCTGGACAGTCACCCAAAGTTCCTCTGTGATGTTGGAGCATCCATCTTCAGCCCATAGGCCACAGTGTGTCTGGCAGACTTCTCAATGAAGCAGGAACCCTTCAGGACTGTCTTGTTTTGCAAGTTCAGCAGTCACTTTCCTGTGGGTCCTGCATGTCCAGTTTATCAAACAGTCGAGGCAAGAGCAGGTTCTTGACCAAATGGCTAATCTTGCCATGTTGAAGGCAAACTCCATAATGAGTTTCTTTGATGCCCATCTTCTTCTCAGATGTAATTGGTATGCCAGGAGCAGCTGTGTCTTACTGTCATGAAAAACCCTAAACTATTCAAATGCCATATATTCTGCAGGTCTTTGAAAGGTTTGAAGAATATCTATCCATCTCAAATACATCTCGGTATATTTAGAAAACCTAGCTAACCCAACTGTAAGTTTTGACTATTATACCTGACTATATATAATCTGTATTTAATTATGCATTACATTTTAAAAGATCTAAACAAGAGGAGAAATATACATATCACAAAATTGACCTTAGTTGTATCAATAAATGAAAAATATCCATAGCAATGCAAATTCATTTCTATATTCTATTCCCCTTTTTTTTCTTTAAAAAGAGACTGACTGTGATTATTACCATTTATAACCAACCCCATTTAAATGAAAATAAACATTTATAAACAATATTTGGGAATTTTGGCGTCGCTCATTCCAAACTGCTTCCTGCTGGTTGGGAGCGATGTCCATACCATGGGGATCATGATAAAACACAGAAACCTGGCCAGGTTTTTGTTTTTGTAGTCTGTAAGGCTGTATCATCTCAGCTGTTTTAGATGTTGGATCAGCTGGGACACTGTTTCAGGGGGTCTTGTTTCGTCAAACCATATTAATCTGGGAGGAATCCATAGCTTTACATTTTCTGTGGAAACATAAGCAAAAACTCTTTTCCCAAGTAATCTGTCCTTATATTTAAATGTAGAAGTCAAAGCATTTTTAAAATATGTAAGTTGGATTAATTTAGCAGCATTGATATCAAATGTCTTTTAGCAGTTATTGCTCCTTCCCCAGCAATTAAACAATTCAAAGACAACAAAATAGCATACAGTATCCAGACTCTGTGTATTTTCCATCTTTATGTGGCTTTTTATTTTTTTATTTCTTTTGCTTCCTTTTTCTCCCCCTTTTTCCTGAGACAGGGTTTTGTCTATGGAAATCTGCCTGCCTCTGCTTCTGGAGTTCTGGGACTAAAGGAGTGCACCACCTGGCTATACTCTCTCTCTCTCTCTCTCTCTCTCTCTCTCTCTCTCTCTCTCTCTCTCCCTCCCTCCCTCCCTCCCTCTCTTTCTTTCAATTAGTTTATCCTGTTTCTTTTTTCTCACAGGCCTATGTATATATTTACACTGTAAACCTTTAGAGGTTTTTCTTTTTCCCTCTGAATCTGTCTTTACTGTGTATCTTTTTCTGGCCACGAGCCCTTTATCTCCTAAACAACATTACTAAAATTAAAGTCATGCCTGTTTTAGCCACTGTCTTTCCAAGATGGCGGGGTATGTTTCAGTCTCAGTCTATGCTGCTATCAAGAAGCATGCTGCCATCAAGAAGCATGCTGCCGGCTTGGAGATGTGGTTACTACCACTGCCAGCTGCTCGTATACACCATTCATTTGTTAGCAGGTCACAAAAGCCCTGCGGTTTTTTCTGCTTATGCTGAGTTAGGAAACCTCCCTTAGGGGAGACCACCGGAGAAAATGCTGCTACCAAGAAGTCATGCTTGTCTCTGTTCTTTTGCTTCTAAAAATCCCTTTTTAAGCTTTTGTGAAGTTTTTATGTGAAAGTTCGTAAAACCACGTGGGTGCCATTTTGTAACGATAAAACTTTCCTCCAGCTGCCTGAGTTCTGCCTGCCATGTTAGGGCCCCAAAATAACACACAGAGTCTTAAATTAATTACAATACTGCTGGTCAATGACTAGGATTTCTCATTTGCTAGCTCAGTCTTAATATCAACCATAAACTTTAATTTATATACTCTATAAAGACTTATCAAGGATGCCAGCCTTAGTGTCCTATCTTCTTGGCATCACGTGGCGACTGTTCATTCCCAGAATCCTCCTCCTCTCCTAGTCCTGCCTATCTTGCTTCTCTATTGACCAATAGTGTTTTATTCATTAACCAATAAGACAAACATATACACAGAAGGACTTTCCCCATCAGTTGGCAACTTTGTTTTATCTGGTTTATTTTTGCTTTATAATCCTGAACATCAATCATCCTGGTCCATGTTAAAGACATAACCATTTTACTTCCTGTCGCTTCTGATTAGGATCTCGAGGTATGTAAGTGTTTCCCTGGCTGTGGAAAATCACAGGTTCAACTTCCACTGTGCTTATCTTCAGTTATAAACTGAACCTGAAGAGAGAAAGTGAAAATAGAGCCTCCCATTGTTTCTGCTCCTGGAAGGAACAGCTTGACATGCTCTGTGAGCTGTATCACAGACTTCCCTGAGGATTTACAGCGTTTACAGGTGGCCACAGGTCCCTCGGAGGACTGTGTGTGGGAATTCTGGGACTTGATTCTGATTCATAAGCCCTCTTGGTAGAGCCCATGTGTCCAGGTGCACCCATTCTTTCATAGGCAGATTTTCTTAGAAATTCGCATTCAGGACTGTACCAGCCACTGAGGTTATGATGACCATAACTCAATATTCCGCATTTGGAATTCACTTTAAAATAACACATCAAAAGATACAGGCAGGAGCTGGAGAGATGGCTCAGGGGTTAAAAGCACTGCCCATTCTTCCAGAGGTCCTGAGTTCAATTCCCAGCAACCACATGGTGGCTCCCAACTATCTGTAATGTAGTCTGGTGCCCTCTTATAGACTGCAGGGATACATGCAGGCAGAACACTGTATACATAATAAATAAATAAATCTTAAAAAAAAAGATACAGGCAGAAGAATGTCTGTCTCCAAGGCTGTTGCTTACATTTAGTCCTGTCCACCTTTGTCACTTTCTGTGTAGCTCCAGTTTTACAATTTCACAGCAATCTCTGACATGACAGGCATTGTCAGAACAGTCTAAAATTCTCTAAGTATTTGTTACAATGTTGAATAAAACAAAACAGAATCTTTAAAAACACTAAGGAATGCTGCATTTCCTCCTGGAGATTTTTCTTCCTGGTCCTTCCTAGTCATGGAACTGAAGTTGGATTTCCTTCTATAGAATTCTGGTTTCAGAGAACTTGTGGGTTTCCCCCACTTAGGCTTTCTGTCATAATTTATCTTTCCTTTAGGCCTAATTATTTTCTCATGTTTACTGTGCAGCTAGGTTATGTATCATAACAACTAAATACATCAATTAGTAAATACAAGGTGTTAACTAACTTGAAATAAAAACAGTGTTCTGTGTTAAATTTTCAGTGTTCAAAACAGTGAAAATAGTAATGACTCAACAGAGCAAAGGATTCTTCTCTTGCTTTGGCTACCATTGAATTTTATCTTTGATATTTTGTGAACCATCACAGATTTTTTTCCCAAGGTCATGCCTACAGACATGTGTCTTGCAGAACTGTAGACAGAGTTGGGACTTTTTGGTCGGTATTTTATTGAACACACATACATGTGCATGAATATACACATATGTACACACACATATTTAAACACACAAGCATACACATAGTGTATGCCTGCCTTTGTGCATCACATGAGATATTTTTGTATTTTGTCTGTTCACTAGGGTTAAATTTGTATTCCTATAATCATCCATCAAAGAGAAATCCCTATCTGAAGAAAAATAAACATGCAGATATGTAGTTAGAGTCATTGGGCAATGTTGTTCCTTTTGGTTAGAAGTTGATTTCTTGTTTTTTAAATTCAAGATTGGGAATGGTTTAGATTTACTTGTTTATTTTCTATTTAGAGGTTCCAGGCTTATATTTGAGCTTAGAGACAAAAGATTTTTTCCCTCTTTCTTTCCAGACAAGACTAAACTCCACATCTCCTCTCCTGACCCAGCATCTGGCTGAAGCCACCAGAACATTGCTGGATAGCCTAGGGGGGCTGGCCCAAGAGGTAAGTTGTGTGTCCTTTTAGCTACTGTGAGCATACTAGTAGCTGTCATGGTTTTCTTTAGTTCTGACTTTGGCTAACATGATTCTTTTACTTTGAACATCACATGTTATGTTACTCAATTTTAGAAGCAGAAGTAATCTAAAAATGTATCAGTTTTGATCTCCATTGGAGAAGAAGGAACTAAAATGCATCAGTGTTGCAGAGCTAGATAGTGGTTTAGCACTCCCACCCCAATCTAGACCTTTCTCCATGAGCTTCTTCTGCCCCTAAGTCACTGACCATTTCTGAAGAGGAGAATTCTCTCTCATTCCACCTCCCACCCTGTGAACTGATTTTGTTTGACAGCAACTTCTGCGTGATGCTTTTCAACAACACGACCATCCATTCTGCCATTGTATCAGAATGCACCTTTGCTAGCCCACAGGAAGGCTGTGGCTTTCCTCGCCCTGCTTTTTTGCCTTGTGAATCTGACCTTGGCAATATGGTCTCCTAGTGAGTGCTGAGCAGATTTGGCCCTTAGGTCCACGTGTTGTCCCACGTGTCAGAGAGGACATTGTTCCAACATCCCAGTTAACCGGAACCCAATAAATCATGGGGGAAATTTTCTCAAATTAGGTCCAGCCTTTGATTCTTTAATTTATTTTCCATACTTGTATCATCCTTTCCCCCTCCAAATACCAAAAGATACCCTGTTCTGACAGTAGAATTGTTTCATGTTGGTGATTGAACAAACAGCACATATGGAAAGTTCTGAAAACCCTGGGATTGAGCCACAACACATCTCTGTGTGTGTCTTTCTCTTTTTGTTTTGACAAAATAATTAAAAGTGCTGTTATTCTAGGGTAAAACAAAATAATTAAAAGGACATGATGTGCTCTGTGGTTGACGTGGTGGAAAATGTACAGCTGAATTGTGGACATTTTTTTATGGCTGTCTGTTGAGGTCCACTTACTCCTGGTCCAGCATCAGCAGTGGGTGCCCACTTCTCCTGACAGATACCCTCTTGTCCCTTTGGTTACATCTCACTCAGTTGCTTGTCCTGTGTAATGATAAGGAAATGCATTTGCTTGGTCCATGTTTAGAGAGAAAGTTAGTTGCTATGTTCAAAGCCCAGCTGTTGACAGGAAAAGACAAGGGCACCACACGTGGATTATGGCACTTTGACTGAATTTGCCTGTGTCATCCACAGGGCACAGTGAGGTACCTCTTATTGTGCCCATTTCTCAAATTGCACTGTCGCTTAGAGAAGTGAGATGCAGTGCCCACAGTCTTTGAGAGAGTTAGTTGGTCAGAGTGGAACTTGAACTTGTGACCTCTAAACTCTGAAGTCTCTGTTCTGGTTCACTCCCTTCCAAGAATTCATCAACAAACTCCTATGATGACCTCCATAGACCAGAGACCCTCAAAGAACATATGCACTAGCCAGCCTGGCAGTGGCTATCTGAGATGAGCGAGCGCTGTCGTTAATGTCAGACCTGGGTGAGAGGAAAGGTATAAAGGACAAGACTGAAAAAACAGGTGGAATCACACACACATACACACACACACACACACACACACACACACACACACACACACACACACACAACACACACACACACAGAGTACTAGTTAGGTTCTTAAAGGCCTTGCTAGTTATTGCAACTCAGCAGTGAGCACAGTAACATCCCTGCCATCATTTAGCTCACAGAAGGTTAGACATCAGAAATAAGCAGGTCAGTTGACATGACAAGAGGGATATGTGCAATGAAGAAAATAATTAATCTTGTAAGGAGGGAGACGGAGTGATGAGATACCATTTTGAAGGGAATGGGGGTAAGTTGATACCAAAGACAATTCTGCTGTATTCCCAGAGAAGTTAGGATACTCCAAGCAGGAGGAACAGCAGATGTAAAGCACTGATGTTAGCACATGCTTGAAGATGTGCTTAAGATCCATGAAGGAAGCCAAGGAACTAGAAGCAGGGGATTTAGTGTGACTCATGTTTGCAAAATGTCTGCAAAATGACTGTTGGATTGAGGAAGAGACTGAAGTGAGGATAAGGAAGGGCGAGGAACATTGCATCTCCAACAACAGAGAGTGCAAGGCACTGGTCCATCTGTTCACTCAGATGATCTCAAGTATAGCCACCCTTCTTGGGCTACAAGATTAAGTGGTTACGCTCTCCTGTGAGCCAACGGCGCTTCACGGAGAAAGTGTACAGTATGAGCTGAGGTGGTGGAGAATGAGCAAGAATTCTTCCCTCAGGCACATCCTAGGGAGAGCCACCAGTTTGGGATAACTCAGTAATTAAGTGCTGTAGGTCCCAGCACCACAGTCAGAGGAGGAAGACAACACTGTTATGAGCTTTCTTCCCGCCAGCTTGGGCCCACTGCTGTCAGCTCCAAGTGAACATGCAGAAGTTGTATTAGTTATAATACCATTGGTCATTGGCTTGGACTTCTTATTGCCTAGCTCTGTCTTAATTATTAACCCATAACTACTAATCTATGTATTTCTACATGGTCTTATCTTACCGGATGCCTCATGCATGTCCTCTCTTCCTGGGATCACATAACGACTCCTCTATGCCTATACTTCCCAGAATCCTCCTTGTCTCCTAGTCCTGCTTATCATCCTGCCTAATTGGTCAAACAGTTCTTTATTCATCAACCAATAAGAGAAACATATTTATAGAATGACATCTCCCATCACACCACCTGACCACTACAGGGCTTTACAGTGATTTCAGACACAGGATGTTCTGGAACATAGCTTTCAGGTTAAGAAAATAAAATGTTTGCTTCTCCTCTCTTGTCCCAACCCTTGCTCTGACCTTCACTCCCTTTCCCTTCTCTTCCTTTCTCTCCCCATCCTGACACCAGCTGTTCAGCACAAAGAGCTGGAGTGACATGCGGCAGGAGGTGATGTTTCTGACCAACGTGAACAGCTCCAGCTCCTCCACCCAGATATACCAGGCTGTGTCCCGCATTGTCTGTGGTCACCCAGAGGGTGGGGGGCTGAAGATCAAGTCACTCAACTGGTACGAGGATAACAACTACAAAGCCCTCTTTGGAGGCAACAGCACTGAAGAAGACATGGAGACCTTCTATGACAATTCTACAAGTGAGTGTCTGCAAACAGAAGCCTTGTCCTCATCCTTGTCTTAGGTCTAGGCTCGGCCTGTGTCATCCTCTCCTCCTTCATTCTGTGTAGTAGCACAGACACTGTCCTCTGTGCTCTCATGACATTGTTCCTCAGGTATAGAGTCCTTGATTAGTGGGTCATTCTCATTGCTTTGAGGAGGGGACTGGTACATCTCAGGTGTTTAGTATTATCAACAAGATGAAGGAGTGATTGATAGCCAGTCTCCTCAGTTGTCATCATTTGTGAACTCACTCATATATGGAATTGAAAAGAAAAAAAGTTCACAAAGCAGCTAAGAGAAGAGGTTGCTGGGGGCTGAGTGGGTGATGGAGAGATAGGATGTTAGGTCAGAGTGTACAAAATTTCACTTATGCAAAATGTATGTAACCTGGAGAGGAAATGGATAGTATAGTAAGTGTTTGGTAGCACTGTAATATATCTTGAAACTTGATTAAGAGTTTATCTTAGCTGGGCATTGGTGGTGCACGCCTTTAATCCTAGCACTCAGGGGAGGCAGAGGCAGGTGGATCGCTGTGAGTTCGAGGCCAGCCTGGTCTCCAGAGCGAGTGCCAGAATAGGCTCCAAAGCTACAGAGAAACCCTGTCTTGAAAACTCAAAAATAAAAAAAAAAGAGTTTATCTTAATGTGAATGCTCAGATAGACTGGATATCTGCATGGAGTGATGTATATATTAGTTGATTGGGTTGTGTTAACCACTTTACAGTGGATACGTGTATCAGTGTTCTGTTGTATACTTCAAATACATATCATTTTTATTTTTCAGTTAAATCTCAGTAAAGCCAGAAAAATTTCTAAGAATGAGATGTTGATTTTTTTTAAAAAAATTATTACTGTGAGATAAACTTTACAATAAACACCTAAAAGTGGGTGAGAGTAATAATAGTAATTACAACAACTACAAGAAAATCTAACATTAAGGCAGATTTTCCTCTGTACAGTAATGCAGAGCAAATTCTATTTAAATTGCCTTATTTCATTCTCATAGTAACTGTGCAAGCAAGGTTCTGGAAGCTCACATTTCACTGGCTCAGAGGTTAAGTGTCTTGGTTAAAGCTGCATTCCTCGCTAATCCCCAAGCACTGGGATTCAAGCTCACATGCTCCCGGCTTTTCCCGTGAACCATCTCATTAATGGTGGCATGTGTGCACCATCACACTCAGACATTTGATCTCCTGTTTGTTTGGCATTAGCCCCAAGACAGTGTTAGAGAACCCTGTAACTCTATATCTACTTACCACACTTGGGCAGCTCTGTGTGGATGTGTGTCCTGTGCCTGGCGACAGCAGGGATCCAGTGTTACAGTCTGACAATGGCATGTTTTCCTTGAAAACACCATGCAGCTGAGCCCTTCTCTATTTCCAGCCGCAGGCGTGTCTTTCAGACTTAGAGTGAGATGGCTTCTTGCTGTGGCTGTAACACAAGAGCCTTGCGTTCACTGGAGTACAGCACTCCAGAACTTTACAAGTAGCTCTATAAGCCTGAGGAGGGTGGTGGTGTAGGCAGTTTTATGAAACCATCTGTTCTTCCCCAGTTTACAAATCCACCCAAGGGCATCTCTCACTTACACAACAGATAGGAGGCCAAGTCTTTAAAAACACAAATCCTGGCTTTGGAGATGTAATACAACTAGGTGGGCTTGCATATCATGAATGAGGCCATGGACTGTTCCCTAGGATGCCCCCAATTCCATTATCTTTATTATTGGTGTTGGATCATCTGTTTATGAAACAGCATATAGAAGTTACGTGTTATCTGAAGCAAAGTCTGCTTGTTTGTTTGAACTTTGGATATTTCAGTTCTGAATTTTTATTAAATACAAATATACTTGTGATAAGATCTACCTAATTATTAAGGGAATGCTTGGCTTTTTCTTGAAACTAAAGTCTAGACACAGCCCTCTGGCTTCCCCAATAAGAATCCCATTTATTTTCAGTGAAAACAGCTGTGGGGGTTGGCTTTTGGGTATGGGGCTAGAGTTAGGATGGTGTGTCAAGACGTCCTTCTAGATCAGCTCAGATCTGAGTCTTAGAGAGGGCCTGATTATTTCAAGCTTGGAGCACTTTAGAGACTTCACAGGAAATACCTCAGCTAATCCTCTTCACAGCTCTACACGTAGATGTTATGAACTTTTCTTTTTACAGTGGAGCAAACAGAAGCTCAGATAAGGGAAGCTAATTCACCACATGACTGTAGGTGGTAGAACAGGGATTTGTACCCTTGCTGGCTATGTGCCTCCAACCTTCTAAGTTCCTGTTGGTATCTGGCCATGTATATAAGCGAGTGTCTGTCTTTTGTCTTCTTAATAGCTCCCTATTGCAATGATCTGATGAAGAACTTGGAGTCTAGTCCTCTTTCTCGAATTATTTGGAAGGCATTGAAGCCACTGCTTGTTGGAAAGATTCTGTATACACCTGACACTCCAGCTACAAGGCAGGTCATGGCTGAGGTAAGCTGCCCAGGTGTAGGACTCTGTCCCCAGACTCTTCTCAGAATTAGAGACAGGAAATGAAGGTAGCTTCATGGCCTTTATGAGACTTTTAAATAGTCAAAAAAAAAATTTCACATGTAACTTGGGAGCCAGCTCTCCAGCCCTGAGTGTTTGAATTATAGCTACAGGAGGGATTTCCTGAGGAAGGGAAAGGACTGGGCAGGGGTTTCTGTGATGGGTGATTTTCCTTTTTCAGGAAACCTTGGAATATTCATTGCCTCTATCTCTCTTCTATTTGTATGGATTCTGGTTCCCTACCTGACTGTAGGTGAACAAGACCTTCCAGGAGCTGGCTGTGTTCCATGACCTGGAGGGCATGTGGGAAGAACTCAGCCCCCAACTCTGGACCTTCATGGAGAGCAGCCAAGAGATGGACCTTGTTCGGGTGAGCGTCTCTCTATTCACTTTACTTGCTTGGTCTAGAAGTTGTTTCTGGACATCTTCCCAGAAATACCTGATGATAATGCTGGAAGTTAAACCAATTGAGATACAGTAAGAATAGCTGAAGCCATAGTGCCACCCCTTCTGTAGAAGCAAAGACCAAGGTGCAGTGGTAGCACTTGGTATGTCAGCTTCAGTGTCCCCCATGGCCCATTAGCAGTTTTGCACAAAAGCCAGTGAAGACCAGAAACTGGAAGTAGAGTTCAGGGATTGCAGGACACTGAGTAGTTTCATTTTGTTTCTAGTCACTAAGGTGGGCACAGCATCTTCTGTAGTCTGCTGGTGCCTCAGTAGGTCTTAGAAGGAGACATGGGAACAGACACATGATCTGGCATGCAGATAGGACAGAGGTACTAGGTCCCTAGGCACAGGTTGAGTGCAGCATTGCTGCCATGGAGTGGAGGGAATTGCATGAAACATGCCAGAGCCACTTGAGAGAGACAAGGGCCCCAGAGATGATCAGTGCCCAAAGGAGAGCAGTGTGAGAATGCAGTGTCCCCTTTGTGTCATCATGAGAGCCATTTAATCACATCATCCCTGCCTCGGCTTGAGCGGGGAATCATTAGTCAGCCTCCTATTGCCATGGTGAGCAAGGCCATTTCCTTTTATTTTTTTCTGCTATCAAGAAGCAAGGGAGGATTTTTGCCAGGCTTCTCGTCTTGAACCTTTGTGACCTGAGGGATGCCGGGCTTTAGAGACTACCCATCTTGAGGGAGCTCTCTCAAAGTTTAGGAGTGCTCTGAGTCCCCTGTGGGGACAGGTTACTGACCAAGGAGCTGCAGGAGCTGGAGAAGCCAGTCTTCTTTGATAAATGAGTGCTGTTACACCCATGCAGAATTCTTAACTTGCTGCTTCTTTCTACACACGGGGACTTGGGTGAGGAAATCAAGAGCAACAGTCTACACATTCATGCTGAGTCACGGTACTACTACACATTCACACTCTTGGTGCGTGGTTCTCCCTTCAGCTCCAGTCTTTCTCTTCTAAGGGATTAATGTGGTCCTCCCACAGGAAACACTGTACACTTCAGCATATGCCCCAGGCCTTGTTTCCCTGGTCTTTTCCTTGGGATCCATACTTCTACCATTTGAGATTGTTCTCTGTCTGAGAGTGAAGGGACTTGAAGAATTTTAACTGAATTTGGGCATACATAGATATTCCCCTACTCAAATAAAACAAAACAACCCCCCATCCTCCCCAAGCCAAACAAGGTCTCACAGTATAGCTCAGACTTGCCTGCAACTCACTATGTAGCTCAGGATCACCTCAAACTCAAGGCACTCCTCCTGTTTCAGCTTCTCTCAGTGCTGGAATTGCAGGCATGAACCACTGTGCCTGGCCTTTCCTGATTTTAAATCAAGAGTTTCTTTTGAGACTGCAGCTGCTCATGAACTCTCATTTCTCAAGGGATGAGTCCTTATAAACCTGTGGTAGTGTTCACTAGGGATTTATTTCAGAGAATCCTGGGTGTGGAATAGGAAGTAAAGTAGCAGAGACTGGAGGGAAAGGCATGACAGACCTTGGAGAGCCTCTGTGTCAAGCTGAGGATCTTTTACAGGCGGCATCAGGTGGCTTTAAGGAAGTGGAGGTGTAGATGCATTACTGTAGGAGACAAACGGATGCAAGGCAGAGAGTGTATGAGGGAACAGCCAGGGCTGAGTGTAAAAGAGGAGGTCTGGTAATGGCTTATGGTAGAAAGGCAGCAAGAGGAGGGTACCAGGAGTCTTGACTTCTATCTGGATAGTCGGAGAGCATGCCAACAGGAGGCTATTGGTGTCTGCAATACATAGGGTGGTTGAGCTGGGGATATAAGTTGGGAATTGACACCTTGTCAGTGGAAATCAGAGGGGCTTTATTCCAGTGCATTCTTCCCTGACCTAAGGAATACTACTTTAATCCACCACCTTGGGTTTCTCAGTCCTCAGCATTGTGACTGTTATACAAGGTGATGCCTGGAGCTCCTACTTTTCTGCCTTAGGCTCCCATGTCCCTGCTTCTGGCTCTGTCTTTTTGTGTTGTACATCCTGCAGATCCTAGACACTTTCCTCTTGAGTCTAAGCATCTACTGACCTAACCTGAGATTTTTTTTAAAATTGTTCTGAACTGGACATGGCCCCTCATCTCCAGGCCCTAGTCTAGTACTTTGTGTGAAATGTCAGGTCTTCTGTTCCTTTCAGGCTCCCTGGAGATGCCATAGGGTCAGTGACCTCATTTGGTATTGATGTCCTCTTGGTCTGGATGCCCTATACTGTTTAGCAGCCACACTGGGGAGGGCTCACCCCAAATGCCACCATCCCATCTCTCTGCTCTTATTTGTTCATTCATGTCCACGTATCCAAATAAAGTCATTTCGGAATTGATAACTCATGCCTCTGGACTTCTGTGAGGTGCAATTTTGTATCTGTTAACCAAAAAATTATACTGGTACCTCACTGGTGACAGTGTGCATTGTTACTCACTCGTGGAAAGCAATTTGAAGTGGAAGTTTCAAAATCCACAAAGAATGAGTCATGTGCTATATACCTTTGTTCCACCCCTCCCCCCAGAGATGCATCCTATGGCAATAATTTTAAAAGAAGTCATCATGCGAGAGAAAATGTTATTACTGTAATTGTTATTATGGGAAATTGGAGGTAGACTAAATGCTATGTAGTACAGGAATAGTTAATGAAATTTTAGTAGGTAAAGTCTGTAAAATCATTACGTTCCCATTAAAACAACAAAGAAGCCACCCAGGGGAAGAGCTTGCAAGGTTAGTGAAAAGAAGACTGATTAAGGATGGTGTTCTTGGGCTTTCGGAGATCCAGCTCGGTAGAGCAAGGGCCTCTTGCTTCCCCTGGAAACTGGTAAATGAGCATGACAGATGTTTCCATTTTGCTCAGTCAGCAGTTGCCCAATTTTCCTGGAAGGGCATCTGTGCAGGCTGCTGCCCCAGTTTCCCTGGACTGGCTGGTTGAGGACCAGAATGGCTTACCTGTGACCTTTTTGACATTGACAGGTGATGGGAAACAGTCCTCCTTTTCATCATGACCCATTTGTTCTGGGGTTCGGAAAGACCGTCTTTTACTTGGATTAACCAGCAATATTTCTTCCGTAAATTAAGCCTTAAACATGGGCTCAGCCTAGAGATGAGGTTTTTATTTGGCATCATCAGACCATGTCTCAAAAGAGAGGGGAGATTCGATGCAGTGGTACACTAGAATCAGCGAGCCTATGTTTTCAAACCTGGCTTTCCCATTCATCAGCTAGATTATTCCTGTGTGTGAAATGGGCAGTATCAAAGCTACACCGTCATGGAGTTGTGTGAGTTATGATGCCTGTAGATCCCTGAGCACACTATATTACTGTTGTTAGAGTTAAAACAGTTAACCACTGTCTGGTACAGTGGGAAACCTATGGACTGTGAGTTCAGAAGTCTGATTTTGTGTCTCAGCCCATCAATTCATCTTGGCCAATATTAGTCATGGGTTTTCAACTTCAGTCTTCTTCTTTGTCAATAGAAGCCTTATTAATGTGTCCCACACAAACGGAGCCTGAGCCTATAAAAAGAAGTGTGGTGTGTCCTTGTAGTGCTCATTATCATGAACTTGATGTTTCCTATTTACACGTTCTTCCTGGAATGACAGACACTGTTGGACAGCAGAGGCAATGATCGATTTTGGGAACAGAAGTTGGATGGATTAGATTGGACTGCTCAAGACATCATGGCATTTCTGGCCAAGAACCCAGAGGATGTTCAGTCTCCAAATGGCTCCGTGTATACATGGAGAGAAGCTTTCAATGAAACCAACCAGGCAATCCAGACGATATCTCGCTTCATGGAGGTGAGGTTCTGCTGTGCACATCCTTTCAAAGGGCTTTGTCCTTTGAAATGTTGCAGTAAATTTAAAGGCAGAAGGAGAGCTTAGAATGAATGTGCGGTATCATGTACAGCTATATCCTGCAGGCCCGGCGGACAAGATAAACCCTAGATGAACTGCTTCATAAGTAAATAAGCTTACTTCCAGCGTTACTTCAAATAGACTCCAGTGTTTCTATCCATTATCTTCTCGGTGTTCCCATGTTTTGGTATTCTAGATTCTAATGGTAATAAATTGCTCTCTTATAAAGGCATTGTTTATGAAACTTATCTAATCTAATTTGGAACTGTAAAACTAACCCTAAAAATGATGGAAAGGAAAAGGGCTGATAGAATTTTTCCTTATCTGATTTTAAGTGGTTAGTTGCTGTGACTCAACATTGGTAAGAAAATGGAAGAGCATAAAATATGATCATTTCCCCTCACAGAAACAATACAAGTAATGTTCAGTATTTCACATAAATCTCATTTCTAAGCTTGGTTGAAACCCAGAAAACTACTTTTGAGAGGGCTAGGTGCTGAAGAGTGATAAATTCGGGCAACCAGTTCCCACCTCTCAGTGGAGACTGAGTGGTGTCTACCAGCTGTCTTTCTGGCCATCAGTGTTCTAATGAGGCTGTCTTTTATGTCAGTGTGTCAACCTGAACAAGCTGGAGCCCATTCCAACAGAAGTCCGACTCATCAACAAGTCCATGGAGCTGCTGGATGAGAGGAAGTTCTGGGCTGGGATTGTGTTCACAGGGCTCACTCCTGACAGTGTGGAGCTGCCCCATCACGTGAAGTACAAGATCCGAATGGACATTGACAATGTCGAGAGGACCAATAAGATCAAGGATGGGTAAGTAGAATCCCATCACACAAGCCCAGTGTTGCAAAGGTCAAGAAGATAATTTAGATGGCTTTTATGACTGTTGGTTCTCTGTTAGCAGTTTGGAAGGAATTTCAACAACAAATCAGTAGCAGCAGCATGACTTGGCTAAAACTGCATTGCTGGGGACTGTTAATCAAAGGCCATAAAATATTAGTCTTTCCGTTTCAGCATTCCTGTTCAAAAGATTAACTGAAAGGACTTAAAAGTCAGGAGAAAGAAAGAAAAGCCTTTAGGGGGTCTCTGTGCTAGCCAGACACATTTTTATAAAAAGAAGCAGACAAGCGATAAAAGGGAGTGGGTAGTTGAAATTTTAGTATGTCTATCTGATGTAACGTTATACCTAAGGAGAAAAGAAAAAATATACCATAAGGAGTGTGTTCATTGTGATTATTTCTATTCAAGAATCTATGTATTTATCAATTGAAATAGGAATAGATTAAAAAATAGGAATAGTAGCCAAGGAAGTGTGTGGGAAATGTGGGTAATTGGATTTTCCAGTATGTCTATTGTTTGCTTTTAGGTACTGGGACCCTGGTCCCCGGGCTGACCCATTTGAGGATATGCGATATGTCTGGGGGGGCTTCGCCTACTTGCAGGATGTGGTAGAGCAAGCGATCATCAGAGTGCTGACGGGAACTGAGAAGAAAACGGGTGTCTATGTGCAACAGATGCCCTACCCCTGTTACGTTGATGACATGTGAGTGTACCAACAAGCCAGCCTGTTTTTTTATTAAACAAGCAGCTCCATGTGGAGTACATGCATGTTTCTGCACAGTGTGGGAGTGAATGCACGTCAATAGGAGGTGATTAGAGACCCTGACCCTTGGACTCTGTCCCCTCCTTTAGTGTTTAGTACTTAGTAAAGTAATTTACCTTTATTTTAATATTATCCCCACTATTTCCTAGTTATTAAAGTGATCCCCTAAAGAAATTTTGGATGGCTGCACTCTGTCAGCCAAGGTTCTCATCTCTGTCTACTGCTAATGAAACATTTGGTCATTTGAGAGTCCAGTGGGCCTTCCCTTGGTGACCCAAATGTAGTTTTCCCTCTAATATGCAAGAGCTTTTTTCCATGCTTTTCATCTGTGTCTCCAGTTTCCTTCGGGTGATGAGCCGGTCCATGCCCCTCTTCATGACCCTGGCCTGGATTTACTCTGTTGCTGTGATCATCAAGGGCATTGTATATGAAAAGGAGGCTCGGCTGAAGGAGACCATGCGGATCATGGGCCTGGACAATGGTATTCTCTGGTTTAGCTGGTTCATCAGCAGCCTCATCCCTCTGCTTGTGAGTGCTGGCCTGCTGGTCATCATCTTGAAGGTAAAGGGGCCTCTCTCCTTCCAGAAAAGCACACATTTACCTGCACCACACTGTACTTCAGGGTCAATCCTTAGGAGTGTTGGGTGGGGATTATTTTCAAGTTGGTAAAAGCAATAGTCAGAAGGTTATACTACAGTTTGGATGTCTGGAGGAAGAGGCTGAGGCAGACTTTGCTATATGGATATTAGTAGGGATCAGTATCTGGAGGGATGGAACATATGCTGGCTCATGCAGAGAGAGGAATTGAACCATGTCTCAACAACCCAGTGGGGTGCTCTGGAGAATTTATAGCTTGTCCAGGAGTTTCCCACATTGAACTGAGAAGAAGCCCAAATTCTTATCCCTAAGGCCTGACATCCTCTCTCCCATTTAGTCAGTCATTGGATGGGGCTCACCAGGGAAAGGGGTGTTCTAGGGCCTGGAAGCTCTCCTAGCTATGACAACAGAGACGCTAACATCTGGATGTCTTTTATCTGCAGACAGGCAAGCCCTCCCTTAAAGTGGAGTCTGGGCAGTGAAATTTTTGTCTCATACATGAATCTACTCTTCAGCTTTCTTAACTCATCGTTATTTCATACAAAGCTGCCTCTTATAAAAGTTAGTGTTTTCCAGCGGGGGAGGAAAGGGAGAGAGAGAGAGAGAGAGAGAGAGAGAGAGAGAGAGACAAAGAGAGAAAGAGAGAGAGAGAGAGAGAGAGAGAGAGAGAGCACAAAGCAAGACAATGTAATATTCATCTTAATGCTAGCTATATATATTACTCCTGAGCACTCGCTGAGTAACCTTATAGTAACCCATGGAGTTCCCAGGGCAGGCCAGAGCCTCTCTAAATCGTGCCAGGATGACAGACCAAGATTTATTTGCAACCTGTTTATTTATACTCTGGTATCCAAGGGCAAGGACCTAAGCCTTGTACAAGGGTAGGGGTCCTGTGGGAAAATTCACAAGCATTTATGCATACATGAAGACTTTGTAGCTACCAGGGTAAGGTTAAGGTTGCCTGGCCTGTTTCTAGGTTGGTGGAGAGAGAGGATAAGTGGGCTGTTGTCCCACACAACTTTTTCTTAGGGGCAGTGGTTGTCCTTGAATGAGGAGAAGCCAGGTATCATTATCTCTGTGAGAAACAGAGAGCAATATTGTCCACTGAGATCAAGTAGAAGGTCCTGAACTTCGCACTTACCATAATTCTGCTGTGGCTTTTTTTTAAATGTGTAGTCTCAAGTAAGGTATTTCTCCTGGGTTTGATTTCTGCATCAGAAAACTGAACAGTGTGGTTCCCCTACATTATCTCTGAAAGAATTATGAGTGGAAACTAGCATTGAGATTACATGAGCGAGTGACTGGGCTTGCCAAGGTCACACATTTATCCAGTCTCTTCTTCTCCAGTTAGGAAACCTGCTGCCCTATAGTGATCCCAGCGTAGTGTTCGTCTTCCTGTCTGTGTTTGCCGTGGTGACCATCCTACAGTGCTTCCTCATTAGCACGCTCTTCTCCCGGGCCAACCTGGCAGCAGCCTGTGGGGGCATCATCTACTTCACATTGTACCTGCCATATGTCCTGTGTGTAGCCTGGCAGGACTACGTGGGCTTCTCCATCAAGATCTTTGCTGTGAGTAACGCTAGTCTTTCTCCAGAGTTGTAGTCCTTCCTGACCCCGACCCCTGGGGATTTGGCATTCACTCTGAACTCCTCTCTTACTCAATTGTTCCTCCTTCGCCCTTACAGTGAGCACTAGTTGGATTTGATTTTTGTCAGAGATCAGATTGTACCTTGAACATGTTGGATATAAATGACATTGGGGAATGTATTTAGTGTAGCAGTAGATACCACATCTACCCCTTGTCTTCTAGCTCTTTGGCCATAATAAGATCACAGTAAAGTCATGACCATGGATAGCTTGCGGCCACAAGTGGTTCATTTATGACTCGTCTTTCTTGTATCCATTTTGGTATTTGACTTAGGTAATATTTTCTGAACTGAATAAGTCTGAACATGACTTTCCCTCCCACAGATCCCTGATCAGGACATTTTTTCCTCTCGTGTGTAGGTGTGGTCTTTGAGCATGTGAGAATATCAGTAAAAGCCACTCACTAGCTGCGCCATGGGTCACTAATATTAGTAGGCTCTCAGCATGCTGCAGGTCCCTCAGGCTGAGTCTCATGGATGTCAAACCTTAAAGTAGCTCTTCTGATCCTGAATACTCAATGACTGATCAGGGAAAATGTCTTTGATGTCACTATAGGAGGCTGAATGGGGGACAGGATTGCTGAGCCTTGGAATATCTTGGGAAGCATACAGTTCTAAAAGTCTCACCTGCTCTCATGCATGCATTTCTGAAATGTGTGTGCATAATGAGTGCTTATAAATGAAATCATTTTATATGCTGTAAGGGAGTCCTGTCTCCAAAGGGACTCTAGGAGAATACTTACATGCCTTATAATTGATGTAATTTGCAAATTCATCTTTCTCAAGGTGGAAATTACATTAGAAGAGAAAAATGAGAGAGACAGTGGCATTATCCTAATACTTTTGCCTTTTTCTCTCAGAGCCTTCTGTCTCCTGTGGCTTTTGGATTTGGCTGTGAATACTTTGCCCTTTTTGAGGAGCAAGGCATCGGGGTACAATGGGACAATCTCTTTGAGAGCCCGGTGGAGGAAGATGGCTTTAATCTCACCACTGCAGTGTCCATGATGCTGTTTGACACCTTCCTCTATGGAGTGATGACGTGGTACATCGAAGCTGTCTTTCCAGGTACCCCACGCTTCCAGACTGCTTTGGTTAACTGATACAAGAAGACCCTTTCTGCCAGTAGATCTTTCCTTTCTTTGTGTTGCAATTGCTAAAGGATGAGGGGGCTCCCTCGGAAGTGGCTTGGGCTTTAAACCTGTGAAAAGCAAATAGTACTAGGAAAGTCACCTGTGCTGAAAGCACACCTGTTACTACCACCATGTCCCTCATGCTTGAGTCCTGTGGCCAGGTACTGTGCAAAGTACTTTACATCCTCTGATTTTGAAGATTGCCCTGGAGTGTTTGCTATTGCAAACAGTTCCCGAATGAGAGACCTGAGAATGTAAGTGACTTGCCTGAGGTCACAAGGCTGTTAAGCGCTGGTGCTTGGAGATGACCCCAGTTGGACCACACTGGGTTAGAGTCTAGTAGATTCCTCTCGGTGCTGCCTGAGTTCTGGAGTTATGTCCCCAGAGATGGAAGCCCTAGGAGGGCTTGTAGTTCTTAATTACAAGTTATGAATAATATAATGTATTAGGTCTCAGCACTTGCCCATGGTTTAAGTCAAATTAGTGTGTGGGAACAATTAATTTTGATGCTTTCCTTAACCTTCTTTGCCAAGTGAAACAGGAAACCAGAAAACCTCTTTGGGATACATTTCCATGCAAGATCAAATTTTAGGAGGTGAAGTTCACCCTCTGACTTTGCTCCAAGGGAGTCTATATGTAATTTTTATTTTTTTTTTTAACCGTATCTGAACTTCTTCCATTGATTATGCAATTTGCATCATATAGATTGAGATTCAAATTCTGAATCCATATTTACTGGGTAAGTGACCTTGAATAGGCTATGTGTCCTTCACTTTCTTTATCTCTAAAGTGAGGATGGTGTTGCCATCTGGAGTTGTTGGGAAGCCATGGAGAGATGCAGAATATATGATCTACATACTGGGTTTGAGCACAAGTTAGTGGTCTGCCTCCACCTTAGTTCCAGTGTATTCCTTCCCCCAAAGATCTTGTCAAGGAGAGAGAGAGAGGGTCTGGCTAGACGACATCAGAAATGCTGAGATGGCATCAGCTTGGATCATGCCTGTGCTTTGCTTTCAGGACAGTATGGAATTCCCAGGCCCTGGTATTTTCCTTGTACCAAGTCCTACTGGTTTGGTGAGGAAATTGATGAGAAGAGCCACCTTGGTTCCAGCCAGAAGGGAGTATCAGAAAGTAAGTACTTACTGCTGACACCCACTCCCCTGTACTTGGTGCTGCTGTCCCTACCAGGGAAGGGCATCCCTCTTACATTAAAAAATACTCTAAAGCCACATTAGAGGCAGAAAACCCATGCAATACCCCCTTTCCAAAATACACCCATGCCATTGCTTTCCTGTGCACTGACTTAATGGGAGTCCTGAGGAGCTCCTGAGGAGCAGTTTCTTTGTTTCCCCACTTGTAGGAAAGAATAGTATGATCAATATACCCTTATCTCCCCCATCTTGGACAATGTGCTAGTTTATGCAGCCAGGAGGAATAAGTAGTTAGCCTGACTTTCAATCTTTCCATTTCTTCTTTCCTTCCACCGCTGTCTCAGCATTCCCTTCCCTGAGCTGCCTGTGTTGATTCTCAGCAGTCAGTTGCTCTCTTTCCTGAACAACCACCCAACCACACAAAGGTCTCTGCTTGATTTAGAATAGCAGACTCACAAGAAGTTTCCAGACAAGTATGTGAAGAGGTTCCTTTGTCCTCTTCATGGGTCCCCCCAGTGTTCCCTGTTCATGAACCTGAAATTGAAGTATAGTTTCAAACTGGTATTGGTACTGTTCACAGACCACTGGACTCCTCATTCCACACCCATTTTGTGATATCTGGGAAATTTTATCATGTATGTGGATGTGTGCTCTAGCTTGTCCGTCAAGATGCAGAACTGTCTCATCACTCCAGAGCTCACTGATGATACAGATTAACAGCCATGGCTGCCTCTCTCTTCTGCTTTACTCTTCTCGATTCTTACAATTTTATTATTTCCTGATTATTATGGAAATGGGACTGGATAATAGGCAATTTTTGGTAGTGGGTCTTTTCCTCACTCAGTATAATTCTTTTGAGATCCATTCAAATTGTGATGTATCCTAATCATTTACTGCTTTTTCTTGGGCATGCATGACACTTTTAGCTGTTTTTAAAATGACAGTTCACACCCTGTATATTAATTGTTTTTACAGCATTTTTCATCACCAGACTAATGTTTTCAGTTCATCCCTACCATCAGCACGCATGTCCCAAAGGGCTTAAATTATTTTATCTTCTGTGTGCAACATTTGAGGTTCTAATGGTCTAAGCACAGACTTTTGTATTTGTTTACTCTGCTGCTTAGGTCAGTGTTTCCTGTGGTCTCACCTCTGTCTGTTCTCTTTTGTCACAGTCTGCATGGAAGAGGAACCTACTCATCTGAGGCTGGGTGTGTCCATTCAGAACCTGGTAAAGGTTTACCGAGATGGCATGAAGGTGGCTGTGGATGGCTTGGCGCTAAATTTTTACGAGGGCCAGATCACCTCCTTCCTGGGTCACAATGGAGCGGGGAAGACCACTACCATGTAAGAAGAGGGTGTGGCTCTCACAAGATCTGACGTGGGAAATGCCATCTCAGAAATGAAGACCTGAGACAATCGAATTGGTCACTGTGCTAAGAGTGGGGCCCAGTGAGAGAAAATGTCCCAGTTATTCATGAGCATGGAGGTCTAGATTTTGCTGGATATTTTTCTTTTAGTCTAAAACAGGCAGGGACCTTTTGATGACCATTCCCATTGCACTGCTCAGAATTCCTTGGAGTCTGAGTTGGTCTATTTTTGAGTGGGTTGGTTCAGAGCTGCGAAGCAAGAGACTGGAAAGAAAGATTAAACAAGCTAGAGGAAGAAGGACACTTCCAGGAAGTCTGTCTCTGATCAGATGAGAGAAGGCCCGGGTAGTTCTCTTCTGCTCTTTTCTCTGTGTCCTGTGAGGACCCAATAAGGGTCAGAGAACATCAGTTAACTTACAGTCTACAGTGTCCCCCTGTTCCCCTAACCCAAATACCTAACCCTAACCCCCACCATTCCAGAATTTGATCTTTGAGGGTGGCTGATTGTCTTTGCTTTTCAACATAAAACCAGTGTGTTATGAACATGACACATGACTAAGACACTCAGAAATTCTGCCATGCACACAAACATTTCTATCTTTTAATACATGTTCTTATTTGTTCATTTTTTTTGTACAAGATGTTAAGCATGTAAAATGTTTTAAAGAGCACATCCTGCTGTAAATTAGGAGTTTCGTTTTTTCAGATGCTGTTACTGAAACATTTCTAAGACATAGGCTTGTGCTTAGCTATTCACTAAAGCAAATGGCCTCTTTGCTCCATGAGAATCTATTAGATTCCATTCAGAAGTAATAGAGTGTCCAGTGGTATGATCTGCTCTTCCTGCCCTGACTCTGCAGCACTGAGGAGAGGTGAGACTGGGTCTGCCTGATTTTTGTATTTGTTACTCTTGTCCTCAGGTCAATACTCACTGGGTTGTTCCCCCCAACTTCTGGCACTGCCTACATCCTGGGGAAGGACATTCGCTCTGAGATGAGCTCCATCCGGCAGAACCTGGGCGTCTGTCCCCAGCATAATGTGTTGTTTGACATGTGAGTAGCAGAAGCACACAGAGGAGCCCCCCTCCCCCACCCTCTGTTTGTAACCTGGGAGTCCTGATGCTCTGAGTAGAGTGGTACTAAAGAATTTTCCTTCTTTGGGTGTAGGGTGGTGGGTCTTACCTCTTATGGCCCATGGTGACCATGATGCCTTTTGATTTCAGGGGGAAAAGGAGGTGAAGTTGTCTTAAAGTTCTCTTATCTAAATTCAGTAGCTTGAGCTTCTGGGCTTCCCAGGGGCCTCCCATTCCTTAGACATAGGGCTTGAAACCCATTGAGGTTTGTTGACTCCACGTGAATGCTGAGGCAACTTGGTTTAGTAGAATTGTGAAGTGAGGCCAATCTGTGAACCTGGAATTTAAAGTTTTAACTGTCTGAAGCCCTGTGATCAGGCCTGCAGGGAATGGGATATACATGATCCATTATATTTCAGCTTTCATATCCCAAGCAGCTCCTATCATGGCCCATTTTTTGTGTACCCCAAATTCTCCCTTCTGGTTACCTTTTTTAGAAACTGGTTATTTTTCAAAGGCTAGAAATGGTGTGGAAGAGAAGAAAAACATGCCAAAGTAGTTACGTCCAGAGCTGACCTTCCCCTCTTTCTCTCAGGCTGACTGTCGAAGAACACATTTGGTTCTATGCCCGCCTGAAGGGGCTCTCAGAGAAGCATGTGAAAGCCGAGATGGAACAGATGGCCCTGGATGTTGGCTTACCCCGCAGCAAGCTGAAAAGCAAAACAAGCCAGCTCTCAGGTGAGCCCCAGGCACCTTCTCCATCTTCCCTTCCTTCCTCCTCTAGAAAACACCCCAGAGTCCAAGACACCCTCCACGTCTCCACATGGACACCTCCAGTCATCTCTTAGCACCACCAACCAACCAACCCCCCCCACCCCGCTCACCATGTGAGGTTGTGCATTGCTCTCTTTTGTAGGTGGGATGCAGAGAAAACTGTCTGTGGCCTTGGCCTTTGTAGGTGGATCCAAGGTTGTCATTCTGGATGAGCCCACAGCAGGTGTGGACCCTTACTCTCGAAGGGGAATATGGGAGCTCCTGCTGAAATACCGACAAGGTACATGCTGTTACTTATTTTGAATCCCAAACTGGGGTAGAGGATGGCTCTTGAGAATTGTGGCTGGTTTTGTTCGGGTAACAGAATTGCTTCTCAAGAAAAGTGTGGAAAAAAAAAAGAAAAGAAAAGAGTGGAGCCTCCTTATTCTGGGAGGGAGGAGGCCTGGTTTGCAAGATACTTAGAGCTTATGCTTCATTATTGAAGGGCCATGAGAAGAGCAGAAAGGACATAGGCGTACACATGTGTAGTTATGCTGCACTGTAAACTAAGGTTCATGAACATGAACTGTGTTCTGTTCACTTTGGCCCTGATGATGGGAATGTCTGTAAACCTCTTTGCCCACTCAGTGGAGCGGGTTCCCAGATAAATGCTGCCCTCCTTTCTGTAACAATGCAACAGTTGTCCCTCAAGCTTTGTCATCCTGGGGTCACGTCTACAGAGGTGAAAGGCCTCCCCCAGGTCTTTCTTTTATGTGATATCTCTATTGTCCCTGACACTATGATCATCGAGAACTGACAGGTCCCACTGTCCCATCTCCTTGTGTTTGTGCCTGGCAGGCCGCACCATTATCTTGTCTACACACCACATGGATGAAGCAGACATCCTGGGGGACAGAATTGCCATCATTTCCCACGGAAAGCTGTGCTGTGTGGGCTCTTCCCTGTTTCTGAAGAACCAGCTGGGAACGGGTTACTACCTGACCCTGGTCAAGAAAGATGTGGAATCGTCCCTCAGTTCCTGCAGAAACAGTAGCAGCACTGTGTCATGTCTAAAAAAGGTGAGTGGCCATGTTGGGTGGTTGTGGGGGCTTGGCAACCAGGGCTTGTTGGCTTAGATGGCTAGTACACTCATGCCCTGTGTTGTGAAGATAAGGTGACACTCCCCTTGCTTTGTGGACCCCTTGTGGTACATCACAGCTCCTGTGTGGAAGGCCCAGGAGACCTCTGTTCTAGCCATGCTAGTTCTGTTGCAGCCCATTTTATTTTCCATCTGGAAATACCCTGGGTGATGGAGAAAGTCCTTTGCGGGCTTTATTCTATCAAAGAAAAGAGACTTGCCAAGAGGTAAGAAGAGCCTTGGCTACAAAATGCCTCACCATTCCTGCTTATTGCCTTTAAAGCTTATTGCCTTTAAATCTCATTTGACCTTAACTTTGAAACTATGAAATATCAAATATTTATTATATACAGCTATACCCCATGTATAACCTGTGGGTTTGAAAGAAAGTAATAGTAGTAGTCCATTTTTGTTCTCTTTATAATATTTGTTACATTTTTTATCTCAAAGAATAGAGCAACCCAGGGAAGACAGTACTATGTTTATAATCTCAGAGTAAAGAAGTGAGGCTTGTAGGAATTTGTAGCATATTCAAGGTCTCCCAGAAAGTACAGGGACTAAACCCTGAATCTTGTTTGCTTCTCTTTTATGTGTCTGAGACTTATTTGTGTTTCAAACCATACCACCCACCTGCACCCCCAGCTTCCAACTCCTGTCTACGTACTTTCCTTCTCACTGGAGCCTCCTTGTTCAAGTGTGGTCTGAGGACTAGGAACATCAGGCTCAACTGGGCATTTGTTAGAGCCATGGTGACTTGGGTCCAGTTTAGACCCACTGAATCCATAACTTCATGTTAATATGGTGCCCGAGTAACTGAATGCATATTACCATTTGGGAAGCATTAAACTAGATAAGAAGTCAGGTAAGTCCCATGCTGGGACTGTCGGCAAATGTCCCATGGCAGCATTGATCTGACTTTACAGTTGTGTTGACAATCACTCAGTTTGCTGACCTCTCTCACCCCAGACAGTGAGGCCATCCACACAGAGCACACACACCATAGCAGTGGCCTCTGAAGCCATGGCTGCCAGCTGCATACTTCCCAGAACAAACTTTATGCTCTGGTTGTATACCATAGAACTTTCTAGATGCTCTCTCCATCAAAGGTGGTAGTGTCTATACCCAGCATGACCCCTGACCCTTCTCACCTCCTTCTTTGCCATCAGGAGGACAGTGTTTCTCAAAGCAGTTCTGATGCTGGCCTGGGCAGCGACCATGAAAGTGACACGCTGACCATCGGTAAGGACTCTGGGGTTTCTTATTCAGGTGGTGCCTGAGCTCCCCGCAGCTGGGCAGAGTGGAGGCAGAGGAGGAGAGGTGCAGAGGCTGGTGGCGCTGACTCAAGGTTTGCTGCTGGGCTGGGCTGGACTGGGTGGCTGGGGGAGTGAATGTAGCTTGGTGGTGGCTTGGCCTAACGCTTGCTGGGGAGCATGGGGCTTGGTCTTGGGGCTGGAAGGGTGTATTCCAGAGAACAGATGTGACTGGGAGTCTGGGGAATGCCTTGGGGGGAGTGGCTCCTGGATGAGATGTTGGAGGGCCAAGCCAGCAGGAAGGGAGTTGAATTCAGCATGTAGGAAATGTGAGAGCCTTGAGCAGTGCCATATGGAATAAAAATACTGAGCTGGCTGTCTCTACCCAGTCCCAACAGCTGCCTTTGTCCAGAAAGATTTCTGCTCCCACAAACTATTTGGTTATCCATCTTTAGTGGTAAATGAAGGATAGCACTACCTCAAAGTTTATAGAAGGGCAGAGTGTTTTATGGTTTCCAAACTCCTCCTCCATTGAAGAGTCTTGGTACATACACATTAGACATAAGGTTTCAGTATTAGCAAGTCATTTACCCTTCAGACACCTAGCACCTACAAGTACACCTAACTTTGGTGACATGAAGGAGAATTAGATAGTCTTTGGTCTCTTGGAGTTTCCAGGCCAGGACGAATGGGCCGATGGGTTTTGGCATCTTAGAACATATGGTGTCTAAGTAGTACTTCTGAGATGTAGGTAAAGGAGAAGGCAGGGACTGCTGGCTCCTGCTATAAATCACTGAGATGACCAAGTACCTTCACACTCTCATCCCCACAGATGTCTCTGCTATCTCCAACCTCATCAGGAAGCATGTGTCTGAAGCCCGGCTGGTAGAAGACATTGGCCATGAGCTGACTTATGTGCTGCCATATGAAGCTGCTAAGGAGGGAGCTTTTGTGGAACTCTTCCACGAGATTGATGATCGGCTCTCAGACTTGGGCATCTCCAGTTATGGCATCTCAGAGACCACCCTAGAAGAAGTAAGCTTAGTGGCTGTCAGCAAAGACTCAACAATCCCGAGGCCAGAGAGGCAGCCTACACTGGGAACAAGATTGCTATAGAATTGATTATCAAGATTTTAAGTCATTGACATTGGGTAATGCTAACCCCAGTAAACTATTGAAGAGTTTAGTGGGAGTTAGAAATATATAGAAACATTGGGATTGTTCCCTGGTGTGAGGAGTGTTATGGCCTAGTGCCAACACTCATGTAGTAAATGACCAATATTGATGGACAGTCTGCTGGAGCCAGATGATGAACTTGATTTCTTTATTTTGTTTATTTTTGAGATTATAATTTAATTATAACATTTCTTCCTTCCTTTTCTCTCCTTCCAAACCTTCCAATATACATCTTCCTGCTCTCCTTCAAATTCATTGACTCTTGTATTTATTTATTTTTTGTATTTAATATGGGTTTTTTTTTTCGGTTTTTTTGAGACAGGGTTTCCCTGTGTAGCTTTGGAGGCTATCCTGGAACTAGCTCTTGTAGACCAGGCTGGTCTGGAACTCACAGAGATCCGCCTGCCTCTGCCTCCCGAGTGCTGGGATTAAAGGCGTGTGCCACCAACGCCGAGCTGTACTTTTTATTTTTAAATGATGTTTTTACTTACTCTTTGAGAACATAATATATTTTGGACATATTAATTCTCCTCTTCCAATTCCTTCCAGTCGCCCTCCCCACCTCTCTGTCCATCCAACTTCATATTCTCATTCTCTTGAAAAAAAAAACAAAAAAAAAAGCCCATGGGATCCATTTGTGTTGGCAGACTACCCTGGGTGTGGGCATACCCAGGAATGTGTCACTGCACTGGTGTTTTGTTTTAAACATTGAGAGCTTATTTAATGATCATAGCAGGATGAGAATTAATAGTGAAAGAAGTTGATCTGACATTATGAATCGGGTTTGGGCTTCAAAGCCCAGGTTGTCTTTATTATCTAGCAACACTTCTCTTGAGAGACATAATGTCACAAGCCTTGAGGCCTGGAAGGGGTGTAAACAGTCACTGGCCTGGCTGGCACCCAGGGTAGATTGTGCAGCCGACTCATTTGTGCCAACAATAAAATTTCTAAAGCCCCCTCTGCGCCTTTGAATTAAGATGTCTGGAGACATGACTTTGTACTTCTGTTGCATGCTTCCTGCAGAGTGGCCTGTAGGCAGGTTTGGAAATCAGTGACCTCGTTTAGATTTCCTTTACTGTAGTGTTTACTTCTAGTGAAAAGGAACCCATTCCCCTTTGGCCATTATGTCTTGGATAAGTCATCACAATGTGGTCCTGCTCAGAACTCTGGGACCACAGACCTGATGAAAGCAACTTGCCTCATTATATATGGCCTCAGAATGAACTTCTCCTATCATAAAGTATTGTTCAATCTGAAAGGAGTTGTCCACATTGATAGTTATCACACCTGAAGATGTGTTTTCTGCCCCAAACAGCTGAAATTGTTGATAAATGTGGTCTCCACTTTCTTGGTCTTAAGGGCCTGTTCCATAACCTGATTTGGGGAGTGATCAGTTCTTTCATAAAGTGGGTGCTTACATTGTCTCCTGCTCTGATTTTTCAGATATTTCTCAAAGTGGCTGAAGAGAGTGGGGTGGATGCGGAGACCTCAGGTAAGTGGCTGAGTGGACTGTAAGCTGTTTGGGTAGGCTTTCTGCTGGCTGTTGAAGCTAAACCCTGTTGTACCTTTCCCTTTGTTGCATAAGTCTGGTGCAGTCTCATTCTTAGCATATGGGTTTGCTTTGGGAAGATTTGTTGTGGTACATATAAATAAACCGTGGGATTCCTTCCCTTTCCCTTTAGATGGTACTTTGCCAGCAAGACGAAACAGACGGGCCTTTGGGGACAAGCAGAGCTGTCTGCACCCATTCACTGAAGATGATGTTATTGATCCAAATGACTCGGACATAGACCCAGGTTTGAACGGGCAAGATCTTTGTTCTATTGTTTGAACTTGAATTTGTCTTTTATGCGTTTCTCCACTATCTCTTTGATGGCCTTTGGCTAGGATCACAGATCCCAATGGTATCGGAAGAAAAGTAAAAAAAAAAATGAGAAAGCCCCTTTTCCAATGTGACAAGTCTGGTCAAACTTGAAACTTTATCACTTCAGATTTTTGTAGATGGGTATAAGAAGATGGCCTCTCCATGCTCTGAGCTCATTTCTTTGTTGTCATTTCTGTAGGGTCCCAGTTTCTTGCACACCTTAGGTGTTTTAGTCAGTGAATGAAAATTGTTGAATGGATGGTTGATTTTTGAAGGAATCAAAGGGGGAGGTTGTGTTCTTAAATATATGTATTTTGAATGACTGTGTCCATATACATTTGAGATGGAGAAGAGAGGCATGAAATGAAACAAATCTATAGACTATCTAAGTGCCCCAGTTAGGAGTCATGAGTTTCAGACAAGGATAAAACATTTTGAGAAGCAGGAAATTATCTGGCTCTCCAGTATGGATAAATAGGTCTGGCCTTTTGTTCTTACTTCATGTTTCATTGTCAGGACTTAGATGTTTTCAGTTTGTCTACTTTTTATCAAGCCTACAAAAGATAGGAGACCAATTACCAATGTGTGTCAGCCTACATGACCCACTTCCTAGAATGTAAGAACTGAATGACGACTTATTCCATCAGAACAACTTGCTACTCTGTTCTTTGTGAGCACATCTTTGATTGTCTCAAGGCATCTTCATTTTTCTGTGCTTATCAGATGATAAGTATACACACCGAGGCATATAACTTTGAGCTGGAACTTTTTCTTAAGCACATTTTTTTTTCATGAAACCCTTTACTTTTGTGGTATACTGAAGGCTGCAAACTCCAGTTTCCACCACGACTTGCTGAAGATACCTGAGGGTAGGGCCAGTGAGATATAGGTAACCCTCCATATTTTCTTCTTACAGAATCCAGGGAGACAGACCTGCTCAGTGGGATGGACGGCAAAGGCTCCTACCAGCTGAAGGGTTGGAAACTCACACAACAACAGTTTGTGGCCCTTTTGTGGAAAAGGCTGCTGATAGCGAGACGGAGCAGGAAGGGTTTTTTTGCTCAGGTGAGATGTGCTGGTGTCTGCCTTCATTGACTGCAGACTCTTGGACCAGTGAAGGTGGGGTAGGACTATGGTCAAGAGGTAGATCCTGGGACTATATTAACTCTGTGTCCATACTAGTACTGCTTCCTGCCATTTGTTTATCTGCTGGCCAGTGAATTCCTTGAACTTTAATTCTTCATCTGGAAATGAATCCTGATGTGTGGTTGTTGGCAGAATAAAATGAATTTATTTATAATGGAGTTTGACATTAGTGTGTGGGGGATAATTTAGAGGAGATCATAAAAGGAGATACAATTTAGAAAAACTGGTTGGGCAAATTCAATGCTCATAGCACAAGAGCTGTCATGCTGAGCTGTACTTGACAGTGAACTTATTATTAGAAATATAGTATTTTTTTTCTCTGATTATGTTTAACTGCTGTGAAGGATACCAGAAATCTAAGAATGTAACTGGCACACAGATCCCACATATCATAGTTTGCATGCTGACTTGATCAGTTAGAGTGGGATATGTTTATTTCACTCTATAAAATGTTTATTTCACTCTATATATTCCACACTATAGAGAACATGTCCATAGAGTCTTCCCTGCAGATCACCTGGGCAACACTAACTGAGAGTTGGAGTGGCTGCCACTAGTTCTGGTGGGGAAGGGCCTTGCTATATAGAGTTGGTTCCAGTCCTGATTTACAGATGTCACATCCCCCTGTAGTGGAGAGACAGAACCAGGATTGAGGTCTTCTATTTCCTGGTCCAGGGCTGTTTCTCTCAGCCTTCTACCTGAGACTATGACCCAAGCTGGTTTTTCTGAGCCTTTAGAGGGGGAAAACAGTGGGGTTTAGCATTTAGTCACTTTTACTCTTTACTCTGTGGCATTTCCAGCTTGTGCCTCTGCCAGGTGACCATAGCTTCCAGTCTTGTGGTAGCAGTTGCAGGAAATGCCTTGGGAGGAAAAAGGTTAATTTTCAGGTTCCTTTGCCTCCTAGCTGCCAAAAATACATTGATAGAACTCAGCCATAGGCCTTGCCTGTAACCCTCATTCCTGTGCTGCTAATCTGAGGGGCTGGATGGATTTTCAGGGGCTTGCCCCTTAGACTTCTAACAGTTTTCCTGTGGTCTCTTCCCTCCCCAATGCCTGTTTAGATTGTCCTGCCAGCTGTCTTTGTTTGCATTGCTCTGGTGTTCAGCCTAATTGTGCCACCCTTTGGCAAGTACCCCAGCCTGGAACTTCAGCCCTGGATGTATAATGAGCAGTATACATTTGTCAGGTAAGTGTTTGTGTTCTGTACCTCAGGGCAGAGGCAGGTCAAACAGTGTTTGCTGTACTGAGAACTGAGGTATTTTATTTACGTGTGTGTGTGTGTGTGTGTGTGTGTGTGTGTGTGTGTGTGTGTGTGTGTACATGCTATGTATATATCATATGTAGATATCATTTTCATTTTCTACAGTTAAACATTTGTTTGATCCCTTCCTAGCTGATGACCCAGAATTGCCCATACCTATAGATCATGGCATGGGTTTGTGACCTAGCCCCATTATTTCTGAGACTTTCTAATGGTTCATAAACAATCAATAAAATGTGCCTTTCTGGTTTTGGAAGGTCCTAGCTGTCTGTGTCAAATGGATAATTTTCAGAGTAGTTTTGAAATACTGATCCTTAATGATTTTCTTTATTTCAAATGAAGTACATATGATTTGTGTGTATATACACACACACACACCTTCATATATAACCTCTTTGTACATGCTTCACTGGGGGTACCATATGTTACCCTAGTGCCAAATATACGAGTCTCCTTGCAAGTGGCTTCTGTGTTTTATTTGTTTTGGTTTTAAAAACCTGTTCCCTGGAAAGTGCTTAGTAGAGGCTGTTTTGTAGAAAACCGTCTCTACCTCCCAGTCCTTGTTTAGATGCACTGTTGATGGAGATGTCTCTCATGTACCTGCAGTAATGATGCTCCAGAGGACACAGGCACCCAGGAACTCCTGAATGCTCTAACCAGAGACCCTGGCTTCGGGACCCGATGTATGGAAGGAAATCCAATCCCGTGAGTAACACTTCAACTGTAAACTGGCTTCGTGTGATGCCTCCTGGTTTTCTTTCTGGTGCAATTACCTGTTACATTGTCACCACCATCATTTTGCCTTTTAGTTTTTATTTTAAAAGGCCAGGGAGTAACCAAATGGATGAATTTAGGAACAAATAGGATCTTCTAACATCCTTTAGAACAAGTCATTACCAACATTTGTAAACAAATCAGTCACACTATCTTCTACGACAGTAGATTACCAGCGTAGACGGGCAGAGTGTGCAGTTTATAGCTTTGCTTATCATTTTCTTCACCTTAACTTGAAAGGATGACATACTGATTTTTTTAAATAACAGCAGACACTTTCTTTTTGTTCAGTTGCCTATTTCTACCAGACATTTAGGACAAGTTTTAAATAGTAGGTCAATAAACTCAGTGATATGCCAGTTGACTGTGTATGTACAGAAGCAGCTAGTCATGAGGACGCTGTGGAGAAGTAAGTGATGGGGAGAGAACTGTGGCTGGTGGGGGTAACTTCACATTTTCAGGCCTACGCAGAATTTGTTCCTGGGGTCATAAAGCCACACACAGTGATAGCTAAGGAACTTGGAGAGTTGGCAAGGTAACAGAAAACTAGAGAAAGAAAATTTTGAATTCCAAGCCACAAAGGGGAAGATGGCAATCTTGTGTCAGAGCACTGAACATCGTGGCTCAGTATACAAGACCCAGCAGAGTCTATGACCACCCGGAGTGAAAAACATGGCAGCAGGAGGTGGGGATGTGCTGGAACAGTAGCTGACAGCTCACATCCTTATCCACAAACAGGAAGCAGAATTTTGTGCATGGCATGAATCTTTTGAAATCTCAAAGTCCTTCTCCAATAAGGCCACTTCCTCCTAATCCTTCCCAAATAGTTTTGCCAACTGGGGGATCAAGTATTCAGACATAAGAGCCCATGGAGCCGCTCTCATTCAAACCATCACATGTTAGATTTTGTGTTAGTGTTCTGTCATGAGAAGACCCACTTATATGGAGCAAAGATTTATGGTGATTTGTGGTTTTAGAGGTTTTAGCCCATAGTTGGTTGGCTATGTTGTTTTGGGGTTTTGGGGGGGTTCTCTAGTGGAGTAGGACATCATGGTGCGGAATGTATGTGGCACACAGCTGCTCACATCATCAAAACCAATCCAGGAAGCAAGAGAAGGAAAGGAAGGGCTGAGGTCCCAATGTTTCCTTTTAATGTGTGTCCCCAATGATGTAACGATATTCTCTTAGGTCCTGTGACTTAAAGGCTCTGCCAGCTGCCAATAGCACCACAACCTGGCTGCCAAGTCTTTAGCATATGTGTCTCTGGAAGACATTGAAGACTCACCATAGCAGATAGTTAATAGATATTCCTTGTACTTCAAAGTTAGTTCTTACTGGGAGGTAAACACAGCAGCCAGTATTTGTTAAAACTAAAAAGATGCTGAGGGTAGAAGGACACGGAGTCTTCTTGATTTCACAGTACCTTTGGGATTCTGTGTGAAGCTTTTATAGAAAGGAAGGAAGAGGTAAAGGATAATGTGATTAGCTGGTGAGCTGAACCGTATGGATTCATGAATTGATCCCAGCAAAGACTGGGTCTATAGGAGAGAGAACTGATTGGACAGCTGGCCTACAGAGATAAAAGAAATGTCTGTGATGTCAGAGGGCAGATGTGCTGTCTGAGCACCGAGGATTCTCTGAAGCAGTCTGAAAGAAAGGGCTTCACCCTGCCAGCTCATACTGAAATTCGACTTTCAGGTTTTTGGAAAGTGGTAGGGCTGAAGGAAATCCGAGTAGGATGCTTTTTCAGTTGTCTTTAGTGTGTCTCAGCCTCTTGAAGTCTCATGTGTACGTTTTCAAAAGGACAGATGTCTTAGAGTCCTTAAAGAGGAAATGATAAATCACTGGGAAAAGTAGTTCACTTGTGTGCATATTTGTAAACACACACTCACAAGATAAAGATCGTAACTCTATTGTAAATTGTGGAATCTTGAAAATTGGGAATCCAGAAGAAAGACTAGAAATAACAAGTCATTTTATACTCTTCTTTTACCAGTAGGGAAAAATGAAGCCTGAGATACAAGGGACATGTGATGTGCTCCAAACAGTTTGGCGTTCTAGGCAGAGATGAGCACTGTCTCTGAGGATGCTTATAGACCCCCTCACTTTCCATACTTCGAGCACTCCTCCACTCAGCTCAGTTCTCTACTCATTATAGAACATACATTGGATTTTGCCATTCTATACAGGATATCTTCCCTCCCTCTGTCCCTCCCCCCCCTTTCTCATTCACACTATCTTCCTGTTGTTCATCATCTATATAAAATAGCCTCATTTCTTCACAGGGACTTTGTACCCGACTTCCAGCTGCTTCTGCCTGTAGTGTTCATTCTCCCCAATTCTTTTTAAATTATGTTTATTTGTGTGTGTGTGTGTGTGTGTGTGTGTGTGTGTGTGTGTGTGTGTGTGTGTGTGTGTGTGTGCACATGAATATCATGGTGCATGTATAGAGGTCAGAGTACAGCTTGTGGGAGTTGGTCCTTTCTTTCTACCACAATGGGACCTAGGGATTGAACTCAGTTTGACTGCAGACACCTTTACTTACCAAGCCATCTCACCAGCTCATCATCCCAGTTCTTTAACTAGTTTCTTGTTTGTGTTTTGACTGGTTTTGTCTTTAGCTTCAATGGTGTTTTCTCCGTGTACTTTTTTGTTGTCTTGGCTTTATTTGGGGCTGTGTAAAATTGGGTTTGTTGACTTGTTGTCCAGTGATTTCTGGGCATGCAGAATCCATGAAAGCAGAGAGTTTGCATTGCTTACACCAGACTCTCAAAGATGCAGAACCCTGTGTGGCACATAGTGGACTCTTCGTGTGTATTGTGTCAATAGATGTCAGATAGCTGGATTGAACAGAGCTCACTTTGAGCATCTGGAGCCTGTTTATGTTGTATTTCCCTGTGCCCTCTGTTATTCCCCAGCTCCCCAAGCTACCATGAGAGCAAATATGATGGAGTCAGTCTTCTTTAAATGGTAGGGCTAGGAACACGGGCCCTTACTACAGAGCTAACCTGTGCTCTCTAAGGTACCAGGGAAAGTCAGGGTGCTTTCAGGGGAGCCTACATCTCTTGCTGTCTCCTTTTATAGAGATACCCCTTGCTTGGTTGGGGACGAGGACTGGACTACTGCCCCAGTTCCCCAGACCATCAAGGACCTCTTCCAAAATGGGAACTGGACGATGAAGAACCCCTCACCCACCTGCCAGTGTAGCAGTGACAAAATCAAGAAGATGCTGCCTGTGTGTCCCCCAGGGGCAGGCGGGCTGCCACCTCCTCAGGTGAGTCCCTGAGAAGTGGCTCAGGGTGGGGCTGGTAGCATCAGTGTGGCAGCAAGAATGAGTGTGGTGTGATGCTAGGGTCATTTCACCCTTGATCTTACTTGAGAAAGACGAGTAGGTTTTGAAAGAGCTTTGAACTACATTGGGCCAGTGCCTGTCACAGCACTTTCACAGGCCCTGCTTCCTACCCTGGTTCTGCCACAACCAGGCTGGTGGCTATGTTTCTTCCTTAAGAATAAGGAAGTGGACCACAAAATTTAGGTGTATCTTATCAATTCTGACATTCTTTGGGGCTCTGAGTTTGGTAGGGAGATCTGAGGGTTTTTTGTTTTGTTTTTGTTTTTGTTTTTTTTTTTCCTGAAAAATTTCAGGATGCTGTGATATCTCCCTGCTATTCCATCAGAATCCAGAATCCAAGTTGGATGGTGGAGATAGGTGATTTTTAGTGGATGTATAAACTTAAAGAAGTTTTGCTTGCCATCCTAAAATCACCTGATCCAACATAATCCAATGTACAAAAGAATTCACTGGGCAGTTTATAGTGATGCTTCCTAAATATTCTGGTAATGTGGAGAATCCTACCTACATATCCAGAATACTTTCTGGGGATAATTTTGGCTTGGCACATGTGAGGGACGGTTACTGATGGCAGAATAGGCCAGGTCTTGGTGGTGGGTGGCTGAAGATCTTGCCTGGGCCCTGGGGTCCCTATTGTTGTCTATTTTCTGCCCTGATTCTTATCTATAAAGTCACATGATCTTGGTTTTTATGTGATGACAGAGAAAACAGAACACTGCAGACATCCTTCAGAACCTGACGGGAAGAAACATTTCAGATTACCTGGTGAAGACGTATGTGCAGATCATTGCAAAAAGGTATCTCCTGTTGAAACCTGGCTTGTTCTTTACCATCGCTGAGCAGAGAAGTTAAAGGCTGCAGATGTAGACTTGAGTGGTAGAGGAATGGAAAATTGTGATTCTGTTATTTGAAGATCCCCAATGGAAGGCCTCACCTTCCCTGGGGAGTAGAAGGGGGATGGGATAGTGGGTCGGTGGGGGGTGGGGGAGGAGGGGAGGGAGAGGGAACTGAGATTGACATGTAAAAATAGATTGTTTCTAATTTAAATTTTAAAAATACAGAAAAATGCAGATAAATATTTTTATTATTGCCATTACTAAACAAGTGCTATTTTAATTCTGTTATTAAAAATTGTGGTTCTATGGGGAATTTAGCACAGTATATCAAGGAGACAAGATGATACAGGACATTGTGAACCTTAAAAGTTCAACCTAGAGGATGAGGCTGCTGCTCCAGAATGAAAATAAATGATAAATGTGAACTCACATTTGAATTCTGACCCTCAGCAGCTGTTTGACCAGGGTCGGCCCATTATTCTTGTAAAGTCTTCACATATGTAAAATGTGATGTTAGTGCTGCATTCTTAAGTTCGTGGTGAGAGCTAAGTGAAATGACATAAGCAAAGAACTTTAGGTCCTCTCTCGTGGGTGGCTCCATAAACATGAGGTGTGCTGAAGCAAGGTCAGAGCAGACATGGTAGGTTTTCTTGCCCATGGAACCTTTAAAGAGACTTGTAGATTCCCAGGACATGACCACAGAGTGCCCAGTGTTTAGTCAGTGCTCAGAAAATGTGTCCCCTTCCTATCACTATGGTCAGGGGGCATGTCCCTGTTGGAAGTGACTTCAAATGACAAGGGTGCATTTCTCAGAGCTGTAACCTCTCCACATGGGATTCACAACTGAAATTAATTAATTAATTTTAGACAGGGTTTCACTATGTATTTTTAGCTGGCCTGATAGAGATCCACCTGCCTCTGCCTCCTGAGTGCCGGAATTAAAGGCGTGCGCCACCATGTCTGCCTGTGTGGTGGATTTTAAATTTGCTTAATTTACTGTGTGATTCTCAAATGAGTAAGGTTTCTGAGACAGTGACAGGACATGCTGAGAGTGGCCCTCCTTACATGGGTATGACCCTACAGTGCTGGTCATAGGATTGTTCCCATCTCTGAACTTTGTCCTCAGGCAGATGATTACCTTTGCGTCATCAATATGATCCATACTTTCTGGACCTGATTTTTGGTTTGTCTTTCTGCAGCTTAAAGAATAAGATCTGGGTGAATGAGTTCCGGTAAGTCGATCCCTTCTTTCTATTCTCCCTGTCACTCTGAATCTCAGGAGAATGGTTTTGATGTAGGATTCTTGGATCAAGACAGAGTTCTATGTTTGGGGACTGTTTGCCATGTGCACATACTTGGGTGTTACCTCACCATGGGGGGTGGAATTTGTGTAGCACAATATTCATGGTACATCACTCCAGAAGCCTCTGAAATATTTGACATACTCATTTCCTGGAGGAGATTCAGAAATCTCTTGTGGGCCTCTAGAGACTTGAAATAAAACGTCGTAGAGCAAAACCTATCCTAGCTGTATTTTCCCCCAAAGAGATTCCCAAAGGTGCCTAGGAACTCAAGGAAACATTTTCAGGCCTTTCAGATGACACAGGATTCTGAAGGAGCCCATGAGAGTGGGACAGAAGCATTCTTGAAGTCAGCTTGTGAAATGTGGGAAAACGAGTAGCCCATGTAGCTGCCCGAGAGACCTCAAAGGTTCTGTTCTCAAGTTCCAGTTTTCCTCTCTGACTTTTCTCCAGGGTTCAGGGTCCCTGGAACTCTAGGCAGAGCAATCGCAAGCCCACATAGTGGTTCCTGTGCTGTGGAAGACAAGGCCTGACTGTAGTCCCTACCTGGACTTCAAGACTGTGCCCATCACCGCTAGCCTTTGCATCCCATCTGTGACATGGATGCCTTAATCTGTGTCACTAGCTTCAGGCCTTCCCTGCTGAGCAGCAATATTGAGAATTCAGATGGCTACATTTCACAAGAGGAGGCAACATGGAACTGTCCTTAGCCAAACCTTGAACCTAGTCTGAATAAGATATGGCTCTCAAAGAACCTTGTGCGCTGCAGTATCTGCTGCTGAGTAATGGCTTGGGCTCACTGCCTGGGTTTTAATGGCAAGCTTTTCTTTTAGGTATGGCGGCTTTTCCCTGGGTGTCAGTAATTCTCAAGCACTTCCTCCAAGTCAAGAAGTTAATGATGCTATCAAGCAAGTGAAGAAACTCTTGAAGCTGACCAAGGTATAACATCCATCCTGAGACATGTCAGAAAAATGGGCCTGGACCTGCTAGGACACAGGAGTAGTGGTAGGGACTTAATGTTCAGAACATTTTTGTATACAAAGCAATTTCAGAAAGACCAGATTACTCATACCCCACACACACGCACACACACACACACACACACACACACACACACACACACACACACACTTCTGAAAGTGTAGGTTAAATATGAACTCAGATTAATAACTCTTACAACAGCCAAGTTGATGAAGTTGGGCCTGTGATTTAAATGAATTTGGGTTTCATATACTTTCCTAAAATAGTCCTTGACTAAACGGGAAATAGGAAAAATGAATTAATTTATTTTTTAGGCTGGTAGGCTGGTCTTCAAGACATGATAAGCCCATATTCATTTCGCTCTATCTCAGGTTTCCCAAGTTGAAATGACTGTTGTTATATGGTCAGGTGACATGGCTATTGGAGTCTTGGACAGCAGTGCTGGACTTAGAGAACTGTCTTAGTTAGGGTTTCTGTTACTGTGAAGAGACACCATGACCACAGCAACTCATATAAGGAAAATCATTTAATTGGGTTGGCTTACAGTTGCAGAGGCTTAGTTCATTATCATCATGGTGCAACATGGTAGTGTGCAGGCAGACATGGTGCTGGAGAAGGAGCTAAGTCCTGTATCTTGACTTGCAGGCAACAGCAAGTAGTCTCACTGGCTGTGGCTTTAGGATATAGGAGACCTCAAAGCCTGCCTCCAAAATGACACTCTTCCTCCAACAAGACCACACCTACTCCAACAGAGTCCAATCTCCTAATAGTGTCAATCCCTCAGGAGTCATTTTCTTTCAAACCATAAGTACATAGCTCTCCTTTAAGCCACAGGATGCATCTACATGTACTGTGGGTTTGAGTTCTAGGATGATGCCAAGAGACCCTGAAGAATCTTGGAAATTTAATATTTTATTTTTACTTATGTGCATGTCTTTGTGCCATGTGTGTGCCCGGTGCCCACAAAGGCCAAAATAGGGCATTGACTCCCTTGGGCTGGTGTTACAAAGGGTTGTGAGCCCTCATTTGGGTGCTGGGAATTGAACCTGAGCACTCTGGAAGAACAGTGATCTTGACCTCTGATTCATCTCTGCAGCCCCAGAATCTTGGGGATTTAAATTAGGGGATGTGTGTGTGTGTGTGTGTGTGTGTGTGTGTGTGTGTGTGTATGATTGTTTCATGATGTAGCATCATGGCAACTTTAGCACTGTAGACTTTGGTTACATGGTTACATGGTTCTCAGGAACCATGTATGTAATGACTTTAGATTTAATTTCAATGAATGAAGTGGTGGCGGTCATGATCTACATGTGGTTTTGTCTTTGCTCTCTACCACCCCTATCTCTGCAAACAAACAGCACTGAGGTAGGATTATATCGTTTACAGGACAGTTCCGCAGATCGGTTTCTCAGCAGTTTGGGAAGGTTCATGACAGGACTGGATACGAAAAACAATGTCAAGGTATGCCCTTGCCTGTGTCCTGCTACCTTCTTATTAAACAGTGGTCCTCTGTTCCTCGGAGTCTTATGGTCAAGTTGCTAGGGATATTCGTGGCAGAAAAGAGCAAACTGTTGACTTTACCAGTGAGATGATATAGTGTAGTCATTAAGAGAATTTCTTTTGCCACCAAACTTAATGTGGGAACTGATGTGATCTTTGCCTTAAGCCACTTAACCTATATTAAATGTCAGTTTGCTAGGGAACAGATAGACAGTAACCATGGCGATCTTTAACACTGTGTGGGGGCCTGTTTGAAAGTTTAAGGTCTTCACACAATGCTGGTCTGATGGCCAGTGGTCACTGGATCCTGTGTTGATAACACTTTTTGTTTGGAACGCTGAATCTCTTTCTGAAGTTTCCACGCATGTCTTAGGTCTACACACTTGCTTCTGGGAGCACAGTTTGGCAGCATTGCCTTGAAGCTGGTCTGTTTTACTTCAGGTGTGGTTCAATAACAAGGGCTGGCACGCTATCAGTTCTTTCCTGAATGTCATCAACAATGCCATTCTCCGGGCCAACCTACAGAAGGGAGAGAATCCAAGCCAGTATGGGATTACTGCTTTCAATCATCCTCTGAATCTCACCAAGCAGCAGCTCTCGGAGGTGGCTCTGTAAGTGTGTCTAAATGACTATGTGTGAAGGTGTCAGGGGATCCATGCACCAAGGGAAAGCTGGTTGTGACAGCTGGAGATAATTGTGTTGTATAAGCCTGAGCCTATCCAGGGTAGGGCAGAAAATGGCCAGTTTACAGATTGTCTGCCAGTTTTTCTTGACTTGAAGAAGGAAGACCAGATCTGTGAAAATCATCACATTTGGTGAACTCACATAAAGTGAATTAAACATAGTTAATACAATCTTAAACTAATTAACTCATTCATATTTCATTTTCTTGAAAATCAGGTTTTTTTGTAATTAAGTGAAACACACATTTAACGGTTTATTTCCTGAAATGTGTGTGTGAGAGTGGCACACACACACACATATTCATGTGTGTTTTGTTGTACATATGTGTGAATTTTAAGGTCAGTACAGTCTTTGGAGTAAAGGAATCTAGATTTGAATTTGGTGCCTAGCTTCTTAGGTATGAGATATTAAATGAGGTAATTTGTATAAATTGCTAAAGCCAGTCCCCAGGACAGAGTTTGTAATCAACACGTTAGATTCCCCTCTCAGAAATGGGAATGGTACATTACTATATAACTACTGTAGAATATTAATCTTTACTAGACTGTGCATAATGGGCTTTTTGTATGTGTTAGACTAATATATATGACTTTTTATATGTGTAGTCTGCTATGCACATCCTATTGTTTTCTGCTTATTATAGCCATGATTAATTTGTATGAGTAGCTTCCCAATAAGATTGCTTGCACATTCATAATAGGTCTCAAACCACACTAGCTTCTTTATATATGGAACTTTTCAACTCACTTCTGTAAGGTTAGAAACCGGAGAGAAGTGAACACCATTAGATCACGCCCAACTTTTGTTCTGTATTTTCATTATGGGTGTGGATTCATTTTAACATTATTGGGGACCAGTTTTGCATTTGAATTGTTTTTTAAAATGTTACTTGAAAGTAATTAGATGGAACCCTGAGATAAATGCTTGCTGAGTGCATTTGTCCTGCCTCACTTTGGTGGTGTTTATATCTGTTTACCTTACTGTGTCCCTAGCTGCATCAAAGGTTCCTCTCATCTTTACTGCCTCTTCCCTTCTAGAATGACCACATCTGTCGACGTCCTCGTGTCTATTTGTGTCATCTTTGCGATGTCCTTTGTCCCAGCCAGCTTTGTTGTGTTCCTGATCCAGGAGCGGGTCAGCAAAGCCAAGCACCTGCAGTTCATCAGCGGGGTGAAGCCCGTCATCTACTGGCTCTCCAATTTTGTCTGGGATATGGTGAGGACACAGGGCCGTCTGTCTCTGTCTGAATCTCAATGGGGACTGTAGATTCATGGGGATAAAGAAAAACAGCTTGTCACTGACACTAGGAATTGTCCCATTTAGTCTAAAATTGTATAAAATAGAAAAAGGGAGAGGCAGATCTGAATGTTTCCAGGACACCAAATGTCTAAAACTAATTGCACATCATGGGACCATCTGACCACTGTGACTATGACTATGGTTGCTACCAACTGTCACCTCATATTTCTTGTGTGAAAACACACACACACACTCTCTCTCTAGCATTTGCTGCTCTTGCAGAGAACCTGAGTTTACTTCCCCACACCACATTGGCTCCAGAGGATTTGACACCCTTTTCTTGTCTCTGTGACCTTTTGCACACATGTATACAGATAGGTGCATACATAACCCTTTATCATAGTTAGGGTTACTATTGCTGATGAAACACCATGACCAAAGCAACTTGTAGAGAAGATGGCTTATTTGGCTTATACTTCCACATCATAGTTCACCATCAAAGAAAGTCAAGACAGGAACTCAAACAGGGCAGGAACATGAAGGCAAGAGCTGATGCAGCATCCATGGAAAAGTTCTGCGTACTGACTTGCTCCCCATGGCTTGCTCAGCCTGCTTTCTTATAGAAACCAGGACCACCAGCCCAAGGATGGCAGTACTCACAATGTGCTGAACCCTCCCCTATCAATCACTACTTAAGAAAATGCCCTACCATCAGATGTTATGGAGGCATTGTGTCCAGTGTACAGAAGACTAGCCAGAACACTCTAAAAATGAGACTAGAATTGAAAGAACTTTATTAAAACCCAAGCCAGTACCTCTAACTTATCTGATAGGTTTTTAACCTAGTGTCAGGACATGTTATGATAAATCTTTCTGCCACCCTCTTGAGTTCCACTCGCTGTGTTAGGGCGCCAAATAATACATAGAGACTTCTATTAGGTATACAAATGCTGCTTGGCCAATGACTAGGATTTCTCATCTGCTAGCTCAGCCTTAATTATCATAAATCTATGTATTTTATAAGACTTATCTTATGTAGGATGCCTTCCATTGGCGTCCTCATCCAGGGATCACATGGTGACTCTGGAGGAAGGCAGAAGGGGAAAGGGAACCACTTCCTGCTTGTCCTTGCTTAAATATGAGTCTCTCTGCTATGTCACTTCCTGCCTGGATCACCACTTCCTTACTACATTTCCCAGAATCCTCCTTGACTACTAGTCCCGTCTAACTTGCTGCCTCATTGGCCAAACAGTAATTTATTCAATAATTAATGAGATGAACAAGCACAGAAGTACATTCCCCATCAAGGATAAGTTTTTTTGTGTTTTGTTTGTTTGTTTGCCTTACCAGGGAAGCTGTTTGCCACTGAAAACTCCATAAATTGTATCAGCATCTTGTCCATCCATTGCAGTATATTTTTGCATTGACTATGCTATATTGTTTTGGTTTGGATCAACATAAAGGACTCCATAAAACTCTAAAGTTCCAATTATTCATAAATGAGCTTAATTCTATTTCCCTATGGCCTTCATTAATTCTAAACTACCCAAAGCAGATATAATTATTTTTCCAACAAATATTTCCTCAGATGTTTAAAGACAACTCTGATTTGACAAACTTTTCTCATAGACAATATGATATATGAGAACACACACACACGATCTCTAATGCACTGTACGGATATGAGTGATGAAGATGGAGATAATGAGACTGCGTATGCTAATTACGCCAAGTCTCTGAGACCTGGCACTCTTCTGATCTGATGCTCCACTTAATAATCTTCCCTTTAAAAAGCAAAGCCCAGAATAACCCTTGTGTTCAGGCCATGGTCTGAACCGTTACGGAGTCAAGAGAAAGCTAATCTTTATAGCGTACTTCTTACTGGAGCTCTAGGTATGGCACTGAGAAGTAGCACTGACTTATTTCAACTTGGTAGTGAACTGAAACCTATTTCAGATGAACTACTGTTAATTGTGGTCTTGTTCATTCTATGCTAATGCACAGAAACAACTGTTTTGAACCTGAACACTTCATTTTACTACTGCTAGCCTGCATCTTGCCAGGATCCATTTGCTTTCTTTTATCATCATCCAGCAATTCATTCATTTAAAGTACACCTGAGTGCTCACATGTCTGAAGGTGTCTGCTGTACCAGGCAGGGGTCATTTAGAGGTAAAAGAGCAATCCCATGACCTTAGGGATATAACCTGTACTCTCTCGTGTTTTCTGTCCCTCCCTGTCTGAGAGCCTAGAATATGCCGCCTATCTTTTATTAGAGATTTGATAAATGCAGTAAGTAGGATGGGACTAAAGCAGCCTGAAGCTGCTATTCTTCTATTATCTGCCAACATACTATTACCTCCATTCATGTGCCCCCCCACTCTCTGTCAGCTATGAATTTTCATAATTGTCCCTGGGTCAAGTCTTTATTTCTTCATTTTAATGCTTGAAGCACTGTCAGGACAGACTGTAAAATTATTCTCGGTGTGATGAAACAATTTTGACATTCATGTTATGAGTGCTTATCTCACAAATAGATTACATGTGATATTGAACTTGGGCAGACCATAATATAGCATTAATGATGAAACAGACACAATCATCTCTGGGTAGAATAATGGAAGCTCATTTGCCTCCTGTGAAATTGAAATGACTCTGCCTGAGAATCCATCCTTCAGTAAGTTTACTGAGCGTGACACTGTGGCTTAGCTGTAGGAAAGACAGAAAGGGCATGCAGTTTATAAAATCAGCCAAGGGTAAAATGCTTGTCAAACTGTATTGTCCGGAATTTTGATTAATAGTTTATGTGGCTTCATTAATTCAAAGTTATTCTCCAACATGTTTCTCTGTCCTTTCTTGTCTGATGATGGTAAAGACTTGGGATGTACTTGGGGGTCAACTTTATTTTCTTATTTTCTCTTTTAGTGCAATTATGTGGTTCCTGCTACATTGGTCATTATCATCTTCATCTGCTTCCAGCAGAAGTCCTATGTGTCCTCCACCAACCTGCCTGTCCTAGCACTTCTGCTTTTGCTGTATGGGTAAGGCAATTTCGGGTGGAGGATTTTCCCAGTGGGCAAGGCATATGATACCCACCACTAGAGGAAGGGCAGAAGACTCCAATGGATGCTTATGTTTGTGCCTTACCAGGTGGTCCATCACACCTCTCATGTACCCAGCCTCCTTTGTGTTCAAGATCCCCAGCACTGCCTATGTTGTCCTCACAAGTGTGAACCTCTTCATCGGCATCAATGGCAGTGTGGCCACTTTTGTACTGGAGCTCTTCACCAACAATGTGAGTGCCTCAAGCAGAGTACTGCCAGCTGGCTTGCATTCTGGTGCCAGAGGACAGTGGTTAACCCCGACCTTACTCCACTTGTTGTCTGTAACATGGACACCACTGACCACTCTGCTGATGCAGCTTCTGCCCTCTCTCTCTCTCTCTCTCTCTCTCTCTCTCTCTCTCTTTCTGTCTCTCTCTCTGTCTCTCTCTCTCTCTCTCCACACACACACACACACACACACACACACACACATTCATTTCTTTCTCCTTTGGGGTCTCTTTGGCAAAGACTGAACAGTCTGGCTTTGCTTTTTCTATTCAGACACCATTTCTGGGTGATGCCATTCAGTCTTAAAACTTTTTTTTTTTTTTTTTTTTTTTTTTTTTTTTTTTTTTTTTTTACCACCAATGCATTGTCTTGTTTTTATTGCTCAGATCTATGCCCTGATTGTTGCCTGGAACTCTGGTTCTCACTGCCTAGTGGATGACTCCATTTAAACTGTTCGTAGATGCTGCACATTTGACATACTGTTAGTCTTTCCCATCAGCACCTGTTTCTCTTGTCATCCCTGTGGTACTTGATGCATCTCCGCAGTTGCTCACGATACCTTTCTTGGACCCATCCTAGGTGCTTTGCTGCTTATTTCCATATTCATCTGGATCCTTCCAGTTTTAAATCTCAGAAGCAAGACTATTGCTTTTTCTCTGAAACCTTAGCTCAGCACACAGTCCTTCTGCAGGTGTATAAACCTTTTTTGGCCGGACCCTACCATATCCCATCCCAGTGGTCAATAATTTCAGCTTTGTTTTCTCTTAAACCACCATATTCCTGTAGGCCTGCCTTGAAATGACCTTCCTCTATCACAGGGCCTGGGGGTGTCTACCACACTTTTTCTTTTTTTTTTTTTATTTGAATTAGAAACGAGATTGTTTTACATGTCAATCCCAGTTCCCTCTCCCTTCCCTCCTCCCCTAAACCCCCCCCCCAACTAAAACCCTACCTATCATATATCCTTTTTTATCCCCCTGGAGGGTGAGGCCTTCCATAGGGTGTCATCAGAGTCTGTTGTGTCCTTTGGGATAGGGCCTAGGCCCACCCCCCGTGTGTCTTGGGGAGTATCCTTCTTTGTGTAATGGGTTCTCAAAGTCTACACCTATGCTAGGGATAAGTACTGAACTACTACAGGAGGTCCCATAGTTTTCCGAGGTTTCCTTGCATGTTCCTGGAGTCTGAATCAGTCCCATGCCGGTATCCCAGCTATCAGTCTGGGGAAGAGCTCCCGGATGTTCAGGTCAGCTGTTTCTGTGGGTTTCACCAGCCTGGTCAGGACCCCTTTGCTCATCACTTGTCCTTCTTTGCAACTGGATTCCAGTTCATTTCAGTGCGTAGTTGTGGGTGTCTGCTTCTACTTCCACCAGCTGCTGGATGAGGGCTATCAGGTGGCATATAAGTCAGTCATCAATCTCATTATCAGGGGAAGGCATTTAAGGTAGCCTCTCCTTTGTTGCTTAGATTGTTAGCTGGTGTCATCTTTGTAAATCCCCAGACATTTCCCTAGTGCCTGTTTCTCTGTAATCCTAAAATGTCTCCATTATGGTATCTCCATTCTTGTTTTCTTCAATTCTTCCCCGTCTCAACCTTTCTGCTCCCTCATGTCTTCCTCACTCTTCCTTTTCTCCCCTTTTCATTCTCCTAAGCTCCCTCCCTTCCTCTTCCCGTGCTCCCAATTTGCTCAGGAGATCTTGACCCTTTCCCCTTCTCCAGGGGACAATGTATGTCTCTCTTAGGGTCCTCCTTGTTTACTA